TAGTTAGAATGAGCTTAGGGACATCACTTCAAGATTAGCCTAGAGGGACAGCAAGGAGACTGGTCCCACTCCTTCCAGGAAACCCCAGAGCAAGCAACTGTGCCCAGCGGCCCAGCCATCCTGTGTCTTCTCACTATGAGCCGACCTCCCTTTCAGTAGCACCTAAGCCGGACAGAGTTGTAGGACCCACACAGTGCATCATCCCTTGACCTGACCACACAAGGGTCCCTTAGTAGTTCCCCCAACGCATTAGAAATATGGTTTGGTTTGCTAACCAATGCTTTGCACCCACAGTGCCTGGCATATAGTAGGTGCTCATTAAATGTTTGCTGAATGCAGAGAGAGAATTCTGAAGGGCTCACCCCCCAAATATGATTGCTCACTATAGGAGAGCCCACCATCCTAAGCAAGAACCGGGGTCCTGCTTCCACCTAGGAAGGAACTCCTGGCCCATCTCCAGGAGAGAGTCTCTCACTCTATTAGTTTTGTTCCAGTTCACCAAGACTGGGAATTTGGCTGTCAACATCCCCCTCAAACTAGGGGTCAAAGGGCTGTGCTTTACAGGCCAGAAACCTGGCAGTCTGCCTCTGTGCCCGCAGCGGGCAAAGTATGGGCCACACCTCCCGATAAGTGTGTGCTGAGTTGACGACTGTCAGGAGTCAAAGGGCTCTTGGGTCCTTGCAGCAGTTGACATGGAGAAGGCGCGTGGGTCACTTGTGGACCGCAGCCTCCACAGCAAATGGGTTTGGGCCTCAGTGTTAACATGTGACCTCAGGATGTCCTGAGCCGTGGACTCTTGGTATTGACTTACAACGAGGACAGGAGCGGTGGCCCTCATCCTCAACTGTGGGCCTTCATCCTGTGGCCATGGATGCTCAGGGCGCCCCTGAGGCAGGGAAGGGTATACAGCCTGTCCCTAACTGCCTTTTACATCAAACACAGCAAGGATAAGGGCCATGAGAAGGGCAAAGGCAGATGCTGCAGGAAGCAAGGAAGGAGGTGGTGGGCAGCCTAAGCAGGCTCTGCGGCAAGCTGTGGGAACGGAACCCTTACAGGAGTGGGGGGGTTAGCACCCAAACAGCAGACAGACCACCCCAGAAGGACCAGGGAATCTGGGACTCTCCCGTGGGTCACCCCACCCTCCCACCCACCATTCTTCTATGCTGCCCACCCCACGGTTCAGACAACTCTCCTCTCCCTGTGCCCTGCAGGCAAGCATCCCCTCCAACAGGTACGCCCTCCCAAACTTACTCGGCGACATGGCCAGGGGCCAACGAGCCCATGAAGGCGCAGCGGGCTCCGAGCAAGGCAAGGACCGTGCAGGAGTTGGACGCGTTGCCTCCACGTTGCCATCTCTGGGACAGGCACCTGTAAGGCACAAGGTGCATCCCTGCAGCCTCAGCGGACTGGTCCCCGGGGGAAGCAGGCCCGACCTCAGTCCCCTGTGTCGGCGTCCACAGAATGCAGGAGCCAGGATGAATCTGTTTCAGCTCACTTGCTATAAATGGAGCTGCTGAGACTCAGTAGTGGGATGGGGCTGGGCTGCGGGCCCATCCCCATATGTCGGGCTACATTCAAGCGTGTAGCTGCATCCGCCTGTTTCTAGCAAACCAGGAAACCTGCGGGGGCCCTCTCACTCGGAGGGCTCCCTTAGCTTTGGGTCATCTCTACCTTAGTCACAGTGAGATGTCACAGTGAAACCCTTCAAAGTCACACTGAAGCTTCAGGCTATGCAGAAGTGCTCAGCATGAGGATTTTTTTTTCTCTCTGTTTTCTGGAAGACTCTCCTCAGTATGCACTCTGGGAAACAGGAGACATATCTCAGGTCATCTCTGACCGTGAACCCCAAGTTCTGAGAGTCCCTGGGTCAGGTGGGGTGGGGATATCAGGAAGGATTGCTCTTCTGGGAGACTGGAGTCCAGAAGCAGGGATGCTATGCAGCACCACAGGTCTGCAGAGGAGGGTACACCCCGAGGGCAAGGGCCTGACAAACAGGGGCGGGGGCTCTTCCAGTAGCATCCACCTTCCAAATGGAGCCTGTGCCATCAGCAGGGGAGAAAGGGTCCCCCTTCTCTTAGCCTTCAGGTAAAGAAGTTCAAGGGAATGCGGTGTTCAGTTCTAGCAGAATGTGGTACTGCATGTATTCTGGTTCAAATACAATCTCTGGAGAACTGGGAGCCTGAAATACGCACGTTCTCCTGGAATAAGAAAAAGCCGCGGGCTGGAGAGATGGCTCAGTGGTTAAGAGCACGTGTTCTTGCAGAGGACCAGGGTTCAGGTCCCAGCACCCACACAGTGGCTCACAACCATCCGGAACTCCAGTTCAGGGCACCCAAAATCCTCTTCTCATCTCTCTAGGTGCCGGGTACGCAAGTGGTGCAAATACATCCATGCACACACAATACTCATACACATAAAGTAAATAAATCTGAAATGCGGGGCCAGAGAGATGGCTCAGTGGTTAGAGGGCTAGAGGACAGATTCAATTCCCAGCACCCACTTGTCAGCTCACAGCTGTCTGTAACTCCAGTCCAGGGGATCTGATACCCTCACACAGACATATGTGCGGGCCAAACGCCAATGCACATAAAATAAAAACAAATAAGTCATTTAATAAAAGAGAGAGAGGAGGGCTGGAGAGCTGGCTCAGCAGTTAGGAGCACTTGCTCTTGCAGAGGGTCCAGGTTCAACTCCCAGCACCCACACTGTGGCTCACAACCGTCTGTAACTCTAGTTCCAGGGTATTCAGTGCCCTCTTCTGACCTTTTCAGGCACCAAGATTGCATGTGGTGCACACACACGTGGGCAGAACACTCACATACATACACATAATAAAATAAGTCTTTTTTAAAAAGAGAGAGAGAGAAAGCCCGATTTCCCCCACTGAGCGCCAAATTGTACAGGTGGCTCTACCTTGGTAAGTAGGTTGGGTCTACACAACTAAATACCCTGAACTCTTCGCCACTGTCCCTGTACCCCTGGCAAGGGCTCTAACTTCTGGCAAACAAAGCAACTCAAAGCAAAGGCTAAACTCCACGAGCTGAGCAGCAACAGAGACAGCACACTGCCTCGTGTTACGTATGTGGCCCGATGAACAACACAGCTGGGCTCCTCCAAATCTTCAGCTTCCTCACCTAAGGAAAGGATCTGCACGGTGCTTTCACAGTTCCCAGGGGGCCTGAGACAGCACAGGGGACAGTACTCTGGGGACCCCCAAACCCAAAGAGCACCCAGCCCCCCCCCACACCTCTGCAAGTTCATCGCTGTCAGAGCTCTAGTTCTTGCCAGAGGTCAGCCTAGAACTTCCTTTCGTCCAGTTCTTTGCTGAGACAACACATAGCTGAGAGGCCATCGGCGTTGCTCAGAGCACCAGACCTCTCACCAGGAGAAAGCCGATGTTCCACTCCACACGCATGCCTTCACGGCATGGCAGCACAATGGGGTGGCCCTTATCAAGAGTAAAGATAAAAACTGTCAAAGGACACTTCAGCTTCCACCAGAGAACTGGTGGATGTTCTCAGAACGTCCACTAAGATGTTCACTCATCTTTGTAAAAAAGACTTCTGGTGGTAGACTCCTTCGGGCACTTAGCACCAGGAAAAAACTGAGCCAACTTTCTCCCTAGGTAACCCAGAGAGGCTCCAGGTTTGCTTACACTGCCAGCCAGCCCTGAGCTAGGCAAGGCTCAAACGCCAGGTTTTTAAACGTTTGTGAGTGATTGAATGGCACGTATCACTCACTCTTAGCTACCTCGTGTTTTATTTCAGCAGTAGGCGGCAAGTTAGAAGTGCATATACATAGGCTTGGGGTTGTGGGGAGGGGAGCTGAAGAACGTTTGTCTGGCACCTCATCAGCTGTTTGCCCTTGGGAGGGAAGAATCATTTCAGCCCTGTCTCTAAACCCAGGATTCTGACGATCCGCACAATCCTAGGACTGAGACGGGAACCAGCTAACAACAGCCATGATTCAAGCGCAGTGTTGCACTCCAGTTAATTCCTGAAGCTGACAGGAGGACTTTAGGACAGCTTGGGCTACCTAGCAAGACCCCGTCAAAACAAAACGACAAACCCCCTGAGTCTTATTTTTAATGGCCTCCAGTCTCCTGTCTTCACTCCCGCTGAGAGCCCCCAGGCTTCCCTGGCAAAGAACATCCGCACGCCAGGCTGGAATCTGTGCCTCACTGCATGGGGAAGGGGGATATCCCCGGCTTAGCAGCCAATTAGCAGTGACAGGCACAAAGACTGGGCTATTGTGGCTCTGGGATTTCCGAGGGGCCTGGGCGCCCCTACCTGCGATCCGTGTCCTCCTCTGGGTACTTGTCCACCACATTGATGATGTCCAGCACCACCAGCCCCACGCAAAGGATCTGCTTCTCTTCCATGAGGCTGCTCCCCAAGCTTCCTACCCGCAAGCGGAGGGAATTCCTACTGGGGCTCTGCCTCTTATCTGCTGAAGGAAGGTGTCCCAGCTTCTCAGGGGCTGCCCTGGCTCCTCCTCCGCGTGCGGAGCTCCACGGGCCAATGGCAGAACCTCTCTGAGCCCGGCCAGACCGTCCCACGAATGCAAAGCGAAAACGCACTAATATTGCACCACCTTTTCGGTCCCTCTGCACCTGCTGCAGACTGCAGACCCTGGACCACCGGGACGAGCGGGTCGGGCCACCGAAACCCCTCCTTCGCAGGAGGAGCGCCGAAGCACACGGCTCCACCCCGCCGCTGTGGCCCACCCGTCCCAGTCGAAGCCCCGCCCCGGCCAGGCCAGCGGGCGTCACGTGACGGGGAACCGGGGAAGGCTGCCAGCCCGAGAGGCGGCTCTGGCCCTGCGCCCCCTGGCGGCCGCTGGGGGAACCGCGGTCGTGACCCTGAGGCTGCCACCGCGGGCGCCCTTAGCGGGGCGCGCACCCCGAGACCACCGGCCAGGAGGCGATCACCGCCGTAGGACTCCGTCTCCTCCCGTCCTGTCCCTTATCGACCCCTGAACATGTACCGGAGCAGAATGGCTGTGTTTTATAGAAAAACAAAAATAAGTGTCTTTATTCCTGAATAGTTTAGTACGGCGGTGCGGGCTCGGGAAAGCCCTTGGACCCCGAGGATTGCGGAAGCAAGGAAGGGGTTCGAGGGACGGTTCCTCTTCCGCATCCCGGGTCCTGGAGAGGGCTCTGGTGGGGACGGCAGTGAGGCCAAAAGTCAAGAGGAGACGCCTAGGTCCCGGACACCACGAAGTCGCTGCATGCAGAGTGGCCGCTCTGGAGACCTGAACCGCAGCGGGGCGTGCGTGGTCCCCGGACTTGGCCCACCCCGGCCTCGGCGCGGGGGTGGGGGGGAGCCGCGATCCAGGCGGCTCTGCGGCCCGTGTAGGTAAGTTCAGTGGTCGGGCCGACCCTGTCTACACCTGTTCAAGCTCTGTGTCCTCGTAGAGCAGGGCTCCGCTGAAGATGGTGAGCGGCTCCTCCGAGTGGGCCAGCTGCCCCATGACCAGGTCGATGCAGACAGTGTCTCCGACCTGCAGCGGCAGGATGAGGCTGAAGACGCCCAGGGCGCCGGGGCTGGGTTGACTTTCGGCCACAGGCTTATTCTCCAGTCCCTCGGGCTCGTAGCCCCCCGAGTCTATGCGGGCCACGCCCAGGTTGGAGCGCGACAGTACCGCCTCCACTTTCTCGTGCCGGTGCCCAGTTAGTACAGCGCTCAGCAAGTAGCGTCCAGCCAGTGGTGCCGTGAACACACCTGGGGACAAGGGTGGCAGTCAGGAGGGGAGACGGTGTCTGGGACAAGGACGGTTTCTCGAGGAGGGAGTGGGTGGGTACAGCACTCCCGGACTGGGGGCGGGGGAACACCTTTCCCTGCTCTTCCACTGGACTGTACCCTGTCGGGGACCCGCCTTGCATCTCCAGCACTTACTGCAGGACGCGTGCTGGAGCCCCGTCCCTACCATAAAAATCTGTGGTGTGAATGTCTCCTTCCCTCCCCACCCTCTCCTTGCCCACCTGTGGTGGAAATGCATGGAGAGAATAAAGGTCTTTCTAAATGACAAAATGTCAAGATGTACTTGTCTACCGAGGCAGGAACGAGGCATTAGCACTGGCCCAACCTCACCCATTCCCTCAACTGCTCAACCCAGCCCCCTCCCCCCATAGGTTACCTGTCTCTGGGTCGTAGTAGCCTCCATCGTTGAGCAGGACTCTGTCGAAGGGGACTGTGCCTGGTTCCGACCGGGGTAAACTCAGGGCAGCTGAAAAGGCCACTCTAGGCACGGGGGCTGCTGGCGCTCCCTCCACTCCTGAATAGGGGTAAAGTGAGTGTTAGAACGGATGCCCCCTTCCCGCTGCCCAGGCTGCCTGAGGACTGTCCTCCTCCAGCCCCACGCTTATTTCCCCTTCCAGGGTCTAATGAGAAGAACTCACCCTGTTCACCTTGAGGACCTGTGAAAAGAAAGAGATAACAGTGACTAGGGCATCGCTCACTGGGCCACTCATCCAACATGTGCCTTGCAGGGCTCTGAGTGTTAGGTGTGTTTCCAAGCAGGAGGGAGATGCCAAGAAAGGCCTAAGTAGGGTCAAATCTGTGCAGCTGCTGGGCCATAGCCTCAGCCCCGAGCTTTTCCCCCAGACGGCCCTTGTAGGCTAAGCATCAATCTGCAATATGGCAGAGAGATCAAGACACCCAGTAGCCAAATGGTCACCTCATCTACTAGTCACTTTCTTCTCTGTTCACGGTTAGACACTGGGAATCTCCATTTCCTCTCTCCCCTTTCTCAGTCCAGCTCTGTGTGGAATGTTATGCCTGGGCTGCTGGGATAGTCGAAACCCTGGCTGTAGCAAGGGTCTCAGCCAACATACCTGGTGGTCCAATGGGCCCCTTTTGTCCATCCATGCCAGGAGGTCCTGGAGGTCCTGCAGGGCCTGGAGGCCCCTGGAGCCCAGGAGGCCCAGGGGGCCCAGCCTCTCCTGAAGGCCCTATGGTGATAAAACCTAGTTGAAGGACATTTGCAGAGGGAGCTTCCAACTCACAGGAAAGGTGGTGGTTCCACAGGTAGAGAGATGGGTGAGAGAGATGGGCTTAGAGGACTGACGGAGACCTGGGGCCCCTTGTGCTGCAGGCAAGGCACCTGAGTGACAGACCTCCACTCCCAGGCCCATCGAAACAACCAGAGGGAGGGCGGGGAGCTGGACCCTGGCAGCTTCTCTGCAGACACACTTCAACCTCCCAGAGGAACAATAAGGGCTACCACTGGGGCCGAGCAAAGAGGGGGTGGATGAGACAAGGCCTCTTTGCTGGTTGTTGCAGGGTGGAAGGAGACAAAGGAAGGGTCTGGGGCCTGGAGAGATGGCTCAGTGGTTAAGAGCACTGGCTGCTGTTCCAGAGCTCCTGAGTTCAGTTCCTGGCCACCACATGGCGGCTCACAACCATCTACAATGAGATCTGGCGCCCTCTTCTGGCGGGCAGGGGTACATGCAGGCAGAAGACTATCCATAATAAATAAATCTTAAAAAAAAAAAAAAAAGAACGGGTTTAAGAGGGGAACCCCCTCATGCCTTCTGTCCTCACCAGTGAAGTCCTTCAGGCTGAACTGCTGCAGACGGTCTTCCAGGAGCAGCAGGGAACTGTTGAGGGCACCAAGCCGTCTGCCCAGGCCTGCCTGGCCCCCCAGCAGCTTCTCCAGCAGAGCAGCGTGTGTGTGGCTGGTACTGTTGTTTTCCCGAAGTGCAGCCCAGAGCCCAGCCACGTGTCTAGAAAGGCCTTCACGCAGGCCTTGTAGTCCCCCTGCCACAGTATCCAGTCGCTCACAGACCCCCTCAAGACGGCCCAATCGCCCTTCTAAGCTAGGGCACTGGCCGGCCTGTGCCTGGCCCTCCTCCAGGCCTCGGAAGCGCTCCTCGCTCTCTGTAACGTGCTCCGTGGCCTCCTGCTGTAACCTGTTGATCTCAGAGATGATGCTGTCCTTGGTGGCCCCCAGGTCGGCCAGATCAGCACCCTGGCCCTCCACAGTGGTCTGGAGCTCATGCAGTGAGTCGTTGAGGGAGCTGAACGTAAGAATGACCTCAGAGAGTTCTCCTTGAAGGGCCTGGAGGGCTGAGCCTGAGCTGCCCCCAAACACACTGAAGCCGTCCAGAGGCCCGCGGCTTGGTCCCCCAACACCTGGACCAGCTCCAGGGCCCCGTGGAGGTAACAGTGGGCAGGAGCAACGTTCCACGCCGTCCCGAAGGCGGCCCAGCTCCTCCTGGACCCCACCACAGGCCCCGCAGCCCTCGTCCCCGCGGGCTTGCAGCAGACCCTCCAGTTGGCTTAGCTGGGCTGCTGTAAGATTGAGGCGCAGCGAGAGTTCTGCGGCTGCCTCTTCCTGTGCATCCATGCGCTCCTGCAGCCGGCCCAGGATCCCTTGCAGCCCCTCCAACATGGCCTGCTGGGCCTCCCCTGCTGCTCCAACTTTGTGCAAGTCTGAGCCCACTAGCCGTAGCTGGCCCTCGCTGTCCAGCACCCTGCGCTCCAAGGCACTGAGGATCTCACTGACCCGGGAATCCTGTTCCCCGGGGCCCCCAGAGCAGAGCTGTCCACAGGCCTGCACAGCCCCTGTCACCTGCTCTTCCAGCAGACCTAGGCGGCCACCCAGCTCCCTGCTCACGTTGGCCATGAGCTCCTCCAGCTTTTCTAGCCGTCTCGGAGCATCAGGCAACCAGTGGCCCAGCTTCCTCGGTCCCCCGGGCTGGTCCTTCTCTTGCTCCTCTGAGGGACCCAGGGTAGAGTTGAAGCGGTCCTCCAGGCGAGAAAGGCGGGAGGCCAAGCTGGTGTAGCCTGGGGGGTAGCCCCCCTGCCCAGCGGCTCCTCCCAGCTCAGAACCCCGACGTCCACTGAGCACCGTCACTGAGCCGGCCACTACATCCAGCCTCCGCTCCAGCTCTGACAGTCGCCGGCCCAGCTCTGGCGGGCAGCACTCCTGAGGGGGTCTCCTGGCCATGGCGGGTCCCATGTGCTGCTGCTGACGTTCCTCCAGGGAGGACAGTAGCTTCTCCAGTGTTCGCAGCCTCTCCCTGTCCTCTTGCTGCTGCTGGCGGAAGCCATCCAGCCCCGCCAGGCACACTGAGCAGGACTCCTGAAGCTGCCTTTCCAGCTGCCTCAACACCTCCTCGCTGAGGCCCGAAGGGACTGGGACAGGGGCCGGGGCCCCGCCGCCTCCGCCGGTGCCTCCATTGTGATGGTTGTTAAGGTGACCCAGCTCCTGGTCGTGGGTGGAGACGCGGTTGTCCAGGAGCTGCAGCTGGTGCTGGATGGCACTGAGGGTTTCGTGCACACCGGGACGGGCGGCTGCATCTGCCGGCTGCTGCCTCCCGTTAAAGGCTGTCTCCACAGCCTTCTGTACATCTTCGGCCAGGCGCCCATTTAGTCCCTGCAGGACACCTCGAAGGCCTTGCAACTCTTTGGTCAGGCTCTGTACCTGCTGCTCTAGCTGCTGTACTTTCTCTGACTCCCCAGGACCTGAAGAGAGAGAAAGAGAGAGAGAGAGAGAGAGAGAGAGAGAGAGAGAGAGAGAGAGAGAGAGAGACAGCAGATGACTGAGGGTCCAGGCCCTGCTTACCCCAACTCTAGCAAGGGTCAGGGGCTCTCCTTTGGATGATGTGGGCAAGAGAAAAAAAGAAAAAAGAAAAAAAAAGAAAGGCAATACCATTTACTGACTGCCCTTACCCCAGATTTGAACCACAGCTCTTAAAACGTCTACTGAGCAGATACTCTTGCCATTTGATGGCATGGGAAACCGAGGACCAGAGGAATTAGGCAGGTAGTCCCAGGAAGAGTCAGAGGCTCTTTGGACGATTTGGGCAAGAGAAAAAGGGCTTAACAAGTAGCTGTGTCAAATTTCTAATCTAGATCGTCTATCTGGCCACCAAATCCACCCACATCGTTTCCACTTGGCCTTAAGACCTCTTGACTTCTTGGAAACTGTTTCCTTATCTGGGAAATGAGAAAGACACCATGTGTCCTCCCTCTTTGGGCTGACAGTCCCAAATGGGAATGGGAATGTGAAGTACTGTAGCAATGACTGGGCATTTCCCCCAGCGCACCACGGGTCAAACAAGAAATCCTTCAGCAAGCCCGCTGGGGTGCTGGCTGGCTAGCCAGTCAGCCCGAAGTTCCTGTTTCCATAATTATAGTTCGGTTATCTCTTTGGCAGGAAAAGAGCGCACATCCGGTGTGCCTGGCCTAGCACATACACACGGGAGGAAAGAAAAATGCAACAGGGACTATTGCATTCTGGGACCTGCAGTCTCCAGGGGCCAGAAAGGGGCCTGGGACCTGTAGTCAGGTGCAATGCATGCTAGGATTTGTAGTCTTAACTGTCTTCAATGCGGACAGACCGAGCTTCTCAAAGGAATTCCCTGCTTCTCCCACAGCCTTGCCCGACTAGGAAGGACCTTGGCCGCATGAGGGCGTATGTGAGCAAATCCTCTCCATGCCTTCTTATCCGGCGCTAGGTTTTCAGGTCTTTCAATCAATCTATCCCCACTCCGCCCCCCCCCCCCGCCCCCCCCACCCCCCCGACACACTCAAACCACGCAAGCATAAACACTTGCAGACTCTCAGGGGCGTCATTACGTCCTTTCTGTCCGTCTCCCTCCAGTTTAGAGCACAGAGGTTTCACGTTTACCACCCCGGATCTCCCCATCCCTAGGAAATTGCAGACTCACCCTCTCCCCCTAGCCCACTGAGGTGGTTGCCTGCACTGGAGCCAGATAGGTTGGGGCGCGCAGGCCTGGGCCGGGGGTGTGGTGTGGAGGGTGCAGGACCCAGAGCGGAAGCAGGGCCTTCTCCACAGTCATCGCCCCCGTAGCCCTGACAGCACCGCCACTCCATGTCTGTTACCGTCTTGTAGGCCACCCTGTAGCGAGGGCGAAGGAAGCTCCGGTACCTGGCCAGAGAGGAAAGGAAGGCTTTGTATTCGCTCGGTTCTGCAAACAGTCACCTGTTCTTCAGGCTGAGTCTCCCTCTCGGGCCAGTCTGTGTGTGGCCTTGCTCACTTGACAGTTACCAGCTTCTTAGCCAAGGGCTAAATCCTGCCTCTTCCTCCCCGTTCCCAGCGCTGGAACCCTGAGTTCGCGGCTAGGAGGCTGACCTGTCCAACAGGAGGGCCTGAAGGTTGGAGACAAGGGAAGTATGCCTGCAGGAGCTCACCAGCTAAGCCAGGACCCTAATATCCTCTCAAAAAGTCTTGTCCTGCCCCCTGCTCCCTGCTCCGCACAGAATCCCTGAGTGGCCACCAGCTGTCTGCCCTGGCCCAGCTCCCACTAAGCACCCAATCCCTCAGTGTTGGGGGGGCTCACATGATACTTCGGGGACACTGGGGCTGGCCCCAGCCGCAGGGCTGATAGTCTGGCTTGACAAAGGTCTCCACTCCATCCTCAAGGACGCAGCTCACGGTCCGAGTCACCACGTAAGCACACCAGTTCCTGTAGGCACAACCCTACCTGGGCCAAAGGACCAAAGACACAAGCCCCAGTGGGCCCAGAGGTTGATGGAGGGTCGAAAGATGAAGGGGCCTTGGGGACCAATGAAAGTTAGGGGTTTTGCAAGGGCAGTCCCCACCCCACTTCTTCTATCACCATAGCAGATAAAGACTTTTCAAGACAGGGAAGATATAATGAAAAGAACACACAAAGAGAAGTCAGTCCTCATGACTGTGGGGTCCCGGGCACCCTGGAATTCACAGTCCCTTGGGCCTGTCTCAAGACCCAGCTGTGTAAACCAACCAACTTGGATGCTGGGGATAATCCCCTGTACATGGTGCTTCTACCCACCCCTCAAGGAGGAGAGCAGGGGCAGGCAGATGTCCGGCCTGTGGTTAAGTAGAGAATAAGCCACAGCCGGGCTCTGTCCCCCTGGGTCTTGTGGGGCTGCACTCTTGGCCCCATTCACACTGGCTTCTAATCTGTGGGCTGCTGCAGAACCAGAGGGAGCAGGGCGGGAGTGCTACATTAGTGGCTGGGGCTACGGAAGCCCTAGAGAAGGACAAAAGGTCTGCTTGATCCAGAACTGGCTGGCACACAGCGGGGCAGCTGGCAGCGAGGTCTGGTCCATGGCCCTCCGGCGTAGTTTCCCTGGGCACCCAACTGCAGGCCTCCATAGAGAAGAGGGGTGTGAGCTGATCCCCCTTAGGCCACCAAAGCTCTGGAAAAAGTCCCGCAGGAAGGTGCATACGGGAGGGCCATTGATGGACGGGAGTCCTCACTCTCCTCTTCATGGCATTGGGGGGTATAGCCTGTTGCCCATCTTCTGGGGACTTTCCCAACCACAGCCTCCAGCGCCGGCTGGGGACACAGACTCTTACCTGTGGCGGCTGGCGGGCCGTGGTGAGTTCTGGGCCTGGGGTCCCCCAGGACTGAGGGCCGAACTGCCCCCTGTGTAGAGGCTGTAACCTCGGGGAGGGTAGCTGGCAGCCTCGGTGGCTACGGCCAGCAGATAGCAGAGACAGCAGCAGCTCCAGAGGGTGCTGGGGGCCATGGTGAGGTGTTCCTTGCCGCCCTGCCCTTAGAGACACATCCCGGCTTGACCACTGGTGCCTACACCCGCGCCTCCCGGGGATGCCGCTGCCGCTGCTGCGGCTCCAGGGGACAGCCCGCTAAGCCAGCTCAGTCCCCAGCTTCCTGCCTGCAGCCCCCAGCCACACGCCTCCTCCTTGGCTGCTGGGCCCTGACCCCTCTCTCCCCCTCCTCTTCCCTCCTCGGGCTCCTGTCTGTCCCTCCCTCGGTTCCTTCCGCTCTCCTCTTCTGCACTTCTGAAGGGAGTCTGTTCTCTGGGTCCCTGGCCTCCTGGGCCTGGTCCCTGCCCCTCTCAGAGACTGTTTCCTGAGCCTCCACCCCCTGGCTCCAGCTGGCCCTCTTCTGGTCTCCCTGTCCTGTTCCCTGATGACTGGATCCTCAGGATGACAGAGCTTTGCCCCTGTGGCTGTTGAGAGGCACAAGAGTGACTGTGGGGCGGGCCAGCCTCCTCCCTCCCTTCTCTCCCCTCCCTTCCCCCTGTCTGGCTGGCGGTCCAGCCTCCCCCTTCCTCCCCCACCTCTCCAACCATCGTTGGCCACATCTGCTTCTTGTTAACTCCGGGAAAGAGGGGGGCAAAAAAAAAAAAAAAAAAAAAAAAAGGAAAAACAGAGAAATGTAGAGTTGCCGCCGGGCTTGAGGCCAGCCTCCCAGACAGGCCACATGGAGCCGGGGCCAAATCTGGATAGGAGGCCCAGGGCTGGTGGTTAGGACCGGGAACTCCTGCCAGAGTCCCAGCTCCCCCGGGTCAGTCAGAACAGGACCCTTGGGAGAAGATGAAGAGAGAGGGAGCCCTGAGGACACCCAGCGGGAAGGCAGGACTGTACAGGGGATACTGCATGTGGGGGTTCCGCAGGACCTCACCACCATTGGGTCCTTCTGCCTCCTTTTAGAGGCTCACGTGGGAAAGTAATTCATTTGTCCAAGGTGACACAGCACATCGATAATATGGCTGAGATTGGACTCTAAATGACTCCAGTGACTCAGGAGAAGAAGCGGGGGTGGGGGGGGGTGTACTCCACGGAGACAGATGGGAAACCTAAGAGAGAGAAAAGAGGAAGGAATCACAAAACAAAGCAGTCTTTTCTTAAACAATGGAGGAGACAAGAGGAGAAGGCATCTCCTTCCTGTCTGCCATTGGTGAAGGTCAGGCTATAACCAGGAGGGTTGAATATGGTGATAGCAGAGGAAGACAGTCCTTCTCTGTGGCCTGCAGAGAGAGAAACCTCAGCTTGACCTGAAAGCTCTTGGTGAGATGCCTGCTGCCTCTTGCCTTCTCTGTGGTATGTTCTGGACCTGCATCTCCCGGGGGACGCTAGAAGGGAGAAGCTGGACGACCAGACAGACAACGGCTACCAGAAGTTGCCGTGTGCCAGGCACTGGAGAAGGTGCCCGAGCTGCAAGTCTAAAACTCTGTCACTGTCGATTCAGGAACAACTCCGGTTTTGGGGCCCCCAAACAGAGAACCCCAGAGGCAGGACGGACCTATTGCCAAGAGGCCAGGACAAAAGGATGATGTGTGCTCTGGCTAAGAGTTGGGGAGAGACAGCTGGGCTGCTGGGGGTAGCAGAAGAAGCTGCTGGAAAAGGCAGAACTTGAACAGTGTGGGGCAGGAGAGGAGGAGGAGCAAAGGACAGAGACGAGGGAAGGGCGGAGATTTCAGGCTCAGGGAATGTGGTCAGCCTCAGTTTCTTCCTCAGACACAGGGATAATATAACTGCTTCCATCTTAGGTTTATGAGGATTAATAAACATTTCAGAATAGCGCCCAGAATATGGTCAAGGCTTACTTAGTATATGTTAGCTCTTTTTGGTAGACTGGAACTTGTGGGAATCCTCCTGCCTCAGCTGCCTTCACTCAGCAACTGTTAAGTTATTAATTGTCAGACAGGAGCAAGGCAGAAGTCAAGAGAGGTAGGTTATGGGCCAATGAGAGAGAGGCTTCCATGACTGGCCAGGCTGTTGACTTGCAAGGTTTGGAGTAAGAGCAATGAACCCAGAATGAGGTTACAAGGACTTGAGTCTCAATTTCTGGAGCTTGTAACTTGGAATACTGTCCACACCACCACTGGGAGTCTGTTTGCTCTCGAGGGCCTCTTCCAAATTCTACACTGTAAAGTGATGCAGAGGGGTTGTGCTGGTGAGCACGGCCATGAGAAGAAAGAAAGGTTATGCCTGCTCGGTGCATGAAGATAGAGGGAAACACCACAGAAGGTTCCAGAGCTTGAGCTAAAACAAGGAGGTTGGAAAGAGTAGGCCTAGAGGGAAGAGAGGCTATTTCAGTTTGAATATACAGGGAAAAAAACAAAAACAAGAGTAATACATTCTAGTAGAAATAACTGTCAAGAAATAGTTAAAATGCAGAACTGCATTCTGGGAACCATTTATAGAGTGCTAACTGGAAGCCGTGAGAATGAATGTCACCAGCTCCTCTCCTTGACTCTGAGTGATTTGCCTCGACTTCTGAGAGCCACAGACCTAGAATATGACCTTGGTGGCTAGAAGGAGAAATGATGTTGCAAGGCAAGGTGTCGGGGGAAGAAAAAGTCAGAACCAATAGAAGTAGCAATATGTTTGCTCTTCAGGGGCCTGCGGACCAGCACATGGGAAGACTTGAAGGAAACGTTCACAAGAGGCCCTGATTTCAGGAGTCTGCCAGTGGGAGGTGGGAGCCTTGTCTCTGGGCCTTTGCATCACTTGTAGGCCCTGGCCCTGGCAGAAACCAACCCACTCCCTGGCCCCCCAGATTACCCTGGCTACCACTATGAGTTTTGTATTTTTCTTTTAAAAAATGATTTATTGCACTTTATTTTATGTGCATTGGTGTGAAGGTGTCAGATCCCCCAGAATTGGAGTTACAGACAGTTGTAAGCTGCCATGTGGGTGCTGGGAATTGAACCCAGGTCCTCTGGACAAACAATCAGTACTCTTAACCACTGAGCCATCTCTCCAGCCCCGAGTTTTGTATTTTTCTTTTCCTCCTCTCCTTTCAGGGGACCACTGGCAACCTTAAAAAAAATAAATAAATAAAATAAGCCAGGCCGGGCAGTGGTGGCACACACCTTTAATTCCAACACTCGGGAGGCAGACACAAGCAGATCTCTGTGAAGTTTGAGGCCAGCCTGGTCTACAGAGAGAGTTCCATGACAGCCAGGGCTTTTACACAGAGAAACCCTGTCTTGAAAAACCTCACCAAACCAAAAAAAATCAGCCTAGCCTTCCTGTCACTGACTGCCCAGTTACCACACATTCCCTCTCCTGTGCTCTTGGGTCGGAAATTCTGTTGTACGGTTTAAATGTGTCGAGTAAAAGAATGCTGGCTTTGAAAAGAGCATTTCTCTTAGGCTTGTAATTAGGAGCCAAGGCCCAGGCTCGGGCATGAAGGTTTGTAAAATCTCCTACTCACCATTCACTGGCAGTGAAACTTCCCATTGCTGGCCTCAGGGTGAGCAAGCAAGCAGCAATGGTGACCGCTGTTGGCAAGGACGCCATAGTGGTAGTAATGGTGGCAGTGGCATTGCCATGGTAGTATTGGCAGGCGGTCACAACTTTCCAAAGTCATTGGCCAGAATTGCTCACCAAAAAAAAAAAAAAAAAAAAAAAAAAAAAAAGCTACGTCCTTGTAGTAAGACAAAGTCTATTATTTTTGTTTTCGTTTTTTGTTTCTTGTTTTTCAAGACAGGGTTTCTCTGTGTAGCTTTGTACCTTCCCTGGAACTCGCTTTCTAGACCAGGCTGGCCTCGAACTCACAGAGATCCGCCTGGCTCTGCCTCTCAAGTGCTGGGATTAAAGGCATGCGCCACCACCGCCTGGCCAGACTCTATTTTATAACAACTGTAAGGTGGGGGATTTTTGATGACCTAGGGACATCTTGGCCACAGGCAATTCATTCATTCATTCATCCATCACTGATTTAACAAGGAACTGAAGTTCTCAGAGCCAAGATAGCAGGGGGCTCCAGAAATAAGGAGTGTTTTATGTCTAAGGCCTTCTGTTAAAAAACTAAATAGTGGGTGGGAAGAAGGGGAATCATGTGAATTGGGTCTTGTATCATGCCAACACAGTTGGGAATTAGAGCCAAATTTCATGCCTGTCCAAATGCAAGCACTTTGTGTGTGTGTGTGTGTGTGTGTGTGTGTGTGTGTGTGTGTGTGTGTGTGTGTGCCTTCTAGGCTTTTCTCCAGGTATAATACTTTAGGAGCTGACCATCCTGGGATTCAGGGACCAGTCTTCCTCCTTTCCCAAGTCTTATGGATTTCTCACTCCTAAACCTGACCCTGGTCCTCATGTCCTGTAATCCCAGCACTGGGGAGGCAAAGGCAGGAGAATCCTGAGTTCGAAGCCAGCCTGAGCTACATAGTGAAGCTCTATTTAAATTGCAACAGCAATAAAACCATCATATTAATTAGAGAGTACGTTTCATAAGTATCTTCCTACCACCTTCCCCAAATCCTGCCAGGATGAGGTTTGGCCTGCTTCACTTTCCCACACACTTTTCCATCCAGGATTTTTTTTTTTTTTTTTAAATCAAGCTTTGTCATTTCTTAGCTGAGTCTAGTTCAGTCCTGAGGTCAGTTTTTATTTCAGTTCCTTTAGGCACTAGGCCAAATGACCCAGTGAAGGCTGATAAAGACTCACTGACCTAGGCATGGGAAGGGAAAGGGAGGTGAAGGATGTTTCTGGGTAATTCTAAAATAAATCTTTTTCCCGTTTGTCCCTGACCTTTGGACAACCTCCTAAGTCTCTACCGTGGTGGGGGAGGTAGGAAGAACAGGTGTCCTCAGCCAACTGTAGGACCTTGACTAGGTTACCTTCTGGGCCTAGTTCCTTCTTTACCAATAAGCACATAAAATGACAATAACAAATCAAGGAGGTGCCTTTCAGTTGTGGTTGTCTAGGACGCTCTGCACCTGAAATCTTGAAGCATTTCCCTGGGCCTTCTCTTAAGGTACAGCTTCTTTTAAAACTAGAGTCGAATTCTGATTCAATAGCATACCTAAGTGGTTGAACTTGGATCTGCTCCCATTTTCCAGGAGACACGAAGCATAATAATGTGTAATCCTAAAATCTAGACATCATTCTTTCAGGGCGGAGCTGGGGACACACCAGCTCAGGGAGGGATGCCTGGGGAAAACACGTCTGGGGTTTCACCCGTGTTATGTGGAGAGCACGTAGGCCTGGGATTTCTAAATATGAAACTTCTGGGAAACAGTGGGTGAGGGCTGGGGCAAGAAGTGGGAGGAGGCATGGAAAACTATAAACTAACTACTGAAGGCAAGTATTGAGTTTAGGAGCAAACTGGACACAAACTGCTGATGGTCCCAGACCAGAGAAAGCAACATTGGAATAGTGCAAATTCAGCTCACTGTGCACACAGGAGGCAATTTGGTCCCCTGTCCCAGCTGTTCCAGACCTATAGCAGCTCCCGTACAGTTTTCTTTG